AAAAAAAGGAAAAACAAAACAAAAACACCCCTCGCAGCATCGCCCTAAAATTGCAGCAGGAGGTTTGTACTTACAGCCGGCGCTAAAGTGAGTAATCCTCATCCCAGGTAGGGTTTGCTTTGCCTTTAGTACTTGTTTGCTCCTATTCTCCATGGTTCAGAATGGATGAAAATACCGCTCTGCCGGCTGGCAGTAATGGATTTCTTTCATTGTTTAAATGCAGGAAAGAGACACGATGCGGTGTCTCTTCTAATAGTTTCTGCTTGGGATTCAGCAGCTCTCTCAGCTCAGTAAAGCAAGACTCTGTGTGTGTCTCCCCCTCCTCCCCCTCCCCCCACCACTTTTTTTTTTTCAAAAGAGGGCAGGTCGCTCCCTGAATCCCAATGAGTTAAATCAGTCACTTTCCTTCTCATGCATCAGCAGCCTCTTTAACAACCCCAGGGCTGCGGGCACAAAAGAGCATTTAGCTGCCTCCAATTTGTGTAGAAGGCCTGTCCTTAATTTGTTTTTGGAGTATAATTAAATCATGTATTTCGCCCAATATAAAAATACCACGTCCCCAACTTTGGCGATTGAACCACTAATTGTAACCTTTTTAATAAATTCCTGAACTTGAGCTCATACTCGGCGAGCCTGCAAAGACTCCACAATAAATTGACGAGCAGCATTTCTCAGCTAGGAGACCTGCACCCTGCATCCTGGAAAGGTCGGATCTGTACAAGCCACAATCACTTGCCAATGAAGTCTTATATCAACAACATCTCTCGGAAAGGATTACAAGCCTTTCAAAATAAAGCTTTAATCTTAAATATACCTGGTGGCATATTCAATTGCAATCAACTATCAGAGATGGTTTAAACAACCCCGCACAAACCCAGTGCAATTTGATGTGGATTTCATTTGTTCAGAGACACACACTATGTCATTCGATAAATATTCGTTTTGGTCAGTTTATGACGTTGATTACTTCTACAGCTACATGTATGTTACCGTCTAACTGTTGCTGAGGCTGAGAACGCCAGTGCTGGCAGGTCCTGTCAGAGATAAAATATGCTGAAGAGATTCAGCTGTAGTCCTTGGCTTTGAGAAGCTAAAATCAATAGAAAATCATTTACATTTTGGGTGCTCTCGCACTCGGAAACCAAACGTCTAACGTAATGCAATAAAGAATAAACGTTGTCAATCGAAAACGTTAATCAGAAGAGCCTGTGCCAGTCTGTCTGTCGTATCGCAAACCTGTTCTTCATGCACACTGGCCACTAGGGTTAGAGCTGACCCTTCGGGGCGATCACAACATCTTGGTTATATAAAAAGTTTTCCTTTGTATTTTCTTTGCACCCCTGTCATCTCCTAATTCCAACTGCACTTGCTCAAATGGGCTGTAATCCGACTCTAGAGGAGATTAGAGAGCCAGAGATAGCTGCGTTTAGGATTACCAAAAGGAAATGAAGGGATCTAATCCATCGCCTCTCAAGCCCTCCACCCCTCATGTATTTTTCAGTTTCAATCAGACTTTATATTCCCTTTTAGTATTTTAAATACCTGGAGTCGTTTGAAGTAGAAATAGACTGAGAGATAAGGAGTGTTTTTTTCCGTTTGATGAATTCATTGGCACAGAATAAGGTGAGTTTGCAAAAGCAGCCAGTGCTCTCCCTCTGCTTGTCTTCCGCACCCCAAACACCCATTGCCTGAGAATGGCCCCAAGGCCTGCAAGCTTCCATACACCCTCTTCTCTTCAGCCTATAGTTAATAGCAAAAATTCCATGTATGGAGCTGGCATGTGCAATGCACAGAATAAATCCGAGAGTGACCCGAGTTGCGGCAGGAAGAAAGGGATCTCAGTTTCCCCACACGAGCGATGAGATAAGAAACAGAACATTATTTGCACACAATAGTAACAAGTTTTAGAATCTACTTACCTGTAGACAGAAGAACGTGAATGTGTTGTTTTAATCGCTTAAACCCGCCACGTAAACAGCTAGCACTTACTACGTCGATACGAAAATAAAATCTTGGGGTGCTTTCCACGTTTATCTTTAAAACAAGGAAATAGCATCATCTTGTGCTTAAAATGATACGAAAAATCTATAAAGAAGTGTAACATTTATCTAAACAAGTCTATTACGTTGAGACCAATTTGTTCTGTGGAAGGTCTGTAGAATAAATATGCAGTTGAAAAAATGTGCTTAGAGATTCTAAATCTCTCTCCTTATCTGTCAGTTCAAATATACCCTCTCACCCCGATAGGTTTAAATGGATAGTTGTAACCTAGCCTGTCTAAACCCTGTTTTATTTTGTATGAATTCCTAATTTTAATGTGCCTTCTTTTGTTCTGATTACCACTGGAGTAAATCAGGACCACCTAAAAGGTTATGCTAATATACTATAAGGGCCTGCATTTGAAAAAAAAATGGCTAGTCATCCTTTTCAAAGATTTTGTTGTGTAGAGTGCATAGCCTGGTCCTTGCAAGTCTGGAAGCACGTTGAATCAAGTGCCTTGGAAGAAGCTACATAGATAGCGGCTCCACATATAGCCCGCATTAATTATTAAGGTTCATTTCCTGATGTAGGGCTCTGTTTTCCTTAGCAAGTCTATCACCTGCCACAACGCAGACCAGTATGTTTGTTCAAAGCTTATGAAAATGTAACCCAACTCATTTGCAAGAAAGTTGTTGCTAATTAGTTGATAATAAACTTCTCTGGACAGGACAAAAAAGTCTTTTAAAAGTGCAAGGTGTTCTTTGTTATGGCATCACAAGAGGGATTAGCATATCAATGTAGAAGGGGAACAATAGAATAGGGTTTGCCTCCCCCCCAACCCGTTTAACATTTTAAGTGAATCTGATAGTCATGAAACTGAAAGGCTGCGGTCCAGTCGGGTTTAGCAAACCCTCCATCTCCCTCTGAGTCTGTCACACCCGTTGCTAATTCAGTTCTGGGTCTGTCCGGAGCAGAGCTGCCAACTCTGCACCTCTCATGTTAAATTTTACAGGAGATAGGCAAATTACTACTAAAGACTGACCCGAGACTACTAGATTCATTTCACTTGGAACCAAAGCCTACTTTGAATACAAGCCTCCATGGGTGAAAGTCTATTGCATTTGAACCATTGGACCACCTGGAAACCCACACACAACTCCAATGGTTTTATGAGCTCTCTCCCTGAATGGAGCTAACAAATCGTAAGACTTTGGCCTTTTGGATTTTTCTCCCAGGCTGGAGTTTTACTGTTGAAGCATTTGCAATTGGATCTTTTACAGGACAAAGGCCATGGACCTACTTCTGATATTCAGTATCCTTAATAACGCCTAGGTTGTTGTCCCCCTTCTGTCTTTATGGTGTTGAAAGGTCATCCTGGCAGACCCTCATCTCCCTTGCTTTCAAATCCATGCATTTCTAGATCTTTGTAGGGATGTGTCAACATCCTGGCAAAGCAATGGGGCATTTAAAAATTGTTCAGCCAATAGGAAAGACATGGCATTTTTTTCCCTATTCTTAGCTATTTAGCAGAAATCCCTCCATCCCCCAACATAGGAAACCCAAGGAACAACAAAAACAAGCTCGAGGCTACCAGAATCTTCCAGCCCTTTGGTTACAGGTGTAAGTAGAGGCTATGTATTAGTAGAAATTAATAATAAAAATATCCACAGGTCAGTGGAACCAATTAAACAAATCTCCCCAACTCTGAAGCCCCTGATCCAGCTAGTTGTCTTGGCTTGACAGCCTGTATGTGTTATTTACTCACATGGGTAGAGTGCAGCTAAAGGCACGGGGGCGAATTAGAATTGTGGCTTAGGACCCACAGGGAAAGCACTATGGACGCCTTCCTTGGTGGCTGGCTGCGAACTCCTGGGTTGTAAGGCGGGAGCAGAAGGAGACAAAAGCTAGGTTTGCCTAATCAGAGCAGCAACACACCGAGCAATTGCAAGCTTCTGCCTTTGGAAAGGAGCCGTACTCCAGCGGGTGCCCCTCCTGAGGAGACGCTGCTAGAACGCAGCTATTTTTAGGGATTGCAGTGCTATGCAATATACATTAAAGTACAGCGAGTTGCCAAAAATAAAGGAAGCCCCTATTTTCCTGGCAGTGTCGCTGGGGACGAGGAACATAAAAGTGTCCTTCGCAAGAAACAACAGCAGCAAAATAAAGAAGTGCGTACGTTAAAAAAAATCAGAAAAGGTATTTGGTGTTTGGTTCTCTGGTTCCATGTAGGGACTGCTGAGAACTGTGAATAAACCCCGAAATCGTCGGAGTTGACGTCAAATCCATCTGAACAGGCATCAAGGAAAACGTTCAGGATGGGGTTTCCCTAAATGCAAACCATCAGCGAGGCATCTGAAAGGAGCTTTACTTTCTCCATTGTTGTCTGGCAAACAATGGGAGCCCCGGGCGACTGTGCGGCTGTGAGAATGAATAGGGAAGCCGCAGGATGTGTGCGGGTCAGTGCTTGGGGTCTCTGTCCTAAAGCCCCTTTCTCAGCTTGCCACAATAAAGGAGCACAAGGTTTAGGCTTTGTTGGGTCACCGGCCATCTTCTATTATTCACCACAGCCGCAACAAAAAACACTTATTAATCAGCGCTGACCAGAGGCCCCTTTTGAAACAAGGAGAGGGGGTGGGAGAGAAAAGAAGACAAGGAGACCCTGAACAGACCCTCCCAAAGCCAAAGCAGCCATAGGCACTTTTCCGCTGGCCAAAGTGGTGTGTCCCTTCCGCCCCCCCCCCCCCAACTGCCATAACAAAGTTTCAAATCAGGCCCAGAGGACTGGACCCTCCCTCTCACTCTCCCTTTCCTTCTTGCTCCGAAGAGGATGGAGACTTTGTTGCAAGTAAGGCTGGCTTGAGGTCAGATTGCCAAGACCTGGGTTTACAGGCATAGGATTGCTCTTGGAAGAGAAGCCTGTTTCCCATCTGGGCCTCAAGTCCGGACATGGCGCAGGAGAGAAGAGGTTTGCTTGTGGTGCGCTGTTGCTCTTGTGCTTTAAAGCTGATGGATGAGTTGTCAGGCCAGGAGCTGTTTGAGGACTTGTTTCAAAATGGTATGAGAGGGAGTCGAATGTGCCCCTGATTGACTCTGCTGAGAGCAATCCGCAGGGTGGTGGTGGCTGTTCCCGATTTCTAGTGCTGTGTATTGCTAAAATGGTGAGCTTTGCTGAAGAGGAGCTCATAGGCTTAAGAGGGCAACATTTATTCCTAGGTGTAAACAAGAATTCAGAGGCAATGGAGTGCTGAGTGATCTTAAAGGATGTATTAATACCGAATAGGTGGTTATTTAATTCTGGGGGAGGAGGGAGGGCTTTTTTTCTTTATTCATTTATGATAATTTTGCAAGATTAATTTAATTATTGTCAAGTAAGCCAGCGTTTTTGTGTAATTAGCTATGCCTATATTATCATATAATACACAGCCTTAACATATATATGTTCACAAATATATAACACCTGAAAATGGAATCGAGTAACTTTGCACAAGTAAGTTTAGTGTGACTGGAATAAAACTAACCATTTTTGGATGGAGAACTTTTCTGAAAAATCCTCTCTATCTAGACAGTTGGGGTTTTGTCTAAGTGCACAGACTTATCTAAGTAAACAAAGCAATTTGTACTAGTTTATATTTACCAAATGAGCAGAGAAAGCAGATATTGGATCCCCTGTCTATCAGCTGAGAAAAAGAAATTGTTCTCTTAAGAGGAAAAAAATGTCAACACAGAAGATAGATTCTGCTTTAAATGTTTGCCGACTATATTGTATGGGTGATTGTTTGATTCTTTCTTTCTTTCTTTCTTTCTTTCTTTCTTTCTTTCTTTCTTTCTTTCTTTCTTTCTTTCTTT